AGGTTTTCTACATTTCGGGCCAGGATTCCCAGACTTACCAATTTCATGGACCATTAAGCTGCCAAGTAAAAATATTCCCATCAATTCATAAAAAAAAAAAATCCTACCCCCAAATCAGAAGTATAATCTCAAGAGAAAAGGATACATCTCTTAATTTGAACATATTTATGAAATATTCACATCGTCATCATTACCATTTTGATAAGGACAGTGAAAACCTCACAAACAGACAATGGCCCATGGGAACAGCACTGTGCTTTGAATATAGTAGACACTCAGTTACTTTTAGACTGTACAGAAACTAAGCTCTGATTCACTGGGCAGCAGTTTTGTAAATGCTACAGCCCATATACTCGGAAATGCCAGGCCTTCCTTCTTCAGCAAGGACATTTCCCCTCACTCTCCGGAGCTTTGGAAGTTCTCCCCAGCCCCATCCTCCTAGGAGCATACTTGTAGCTCAGTTCCAAAACAACATTTTTTCAGTCACCTTTGAAAAGAAAAAACAAAACCACTCTCCTCCCACTCCGAGCATTTTTGAAGCATACTTTCCAGTAGAGTTACACTTGAAAAATCTCAGTTATTACCTAGCAGACAAAATTTTGCAAGACTTCCACAAGAGGCAAAAGACAGAATGGTTCACTCTATTTGTAAACACTATCAAATCAGTAATAAACAATAAAGAAAAACTTTACTCATAATTCCATACTATTCATTTTTTCCATGTTCTCTTCCTATCTTTGTCCATATGAATCTGTAAATTTTATATACCAATAAATTATACATTGGGACTTTTTTCCTGACAATGAAAGCAATGCCTGTCGTAGCATTTGTTCAGTGCTTAGAAGACTGGGTGAGATACACATACTAGGGAAGTAAGAGTATGTAGAAAGGGAAGGTCTCCTGTAACTGCACACCCAAAGGCCTCTAAATCCGATCTAGGCTTCTTACTTCTTGACAATGATGGCTTGACTTTCTGCCCTCTCTGCCCTTCCTGCAGTTCTCATCTCATGTTAAGAGTTATTGCTGCACTCCTACCGGGAACCTAATAAACTCTGCAGCCTGGTTCTGATCAGAAGCACCAGACTCACGGTCTGTTTATTATCAATTATTTAAATACAGATAACAATTCTGGCTTTTCCTCACCTGCCTCACTTAGAAGTTAATGATGAGGCTGAGTTTTGTGAGCATCTTGAAAACGAAGTGCACAAAAACACGAAATGGGATTGGTTTCCTTTGCTTTCTGCCCCATCATCGTAGCTTATTAAAAAAAAAAAAAAAAGCTCATGATCTTGCCAACCATGTGTGGGCACAGTCCCATAGCCATCACTCTTCCTACTGCCAGCACCTGACCAATGGACATCTGCCCAATACAGTGATGGTGCTAACATAAAATGACAATGATAATTTAGTCCAGAGACCAAGGGGTACATTTCTGATCAAGGTCTGAAAAGAGAGCCAGGGACATGGGAAAGGCTTGCCAAAATGTCATGTGGATGGGCCCTGGAAACCAAGATACAAGATACCGTCTTCTGCAGCCCCTGTAGCTGGTTCTTTCTCAGAATGCCCAAAAGTAGAGTCTCCCCTCTGAAGATGCTATAAGACAGTTTAAAATTTAATCATTAAATTTGTATCTTATCTCCTAACTAGTCTTGGCAGGGCCACAAAGAGTTAACTTTATGATAACCATAAACTAAAGGGAGCTAGGAATTGGGAAGGAGGTGGTGGCGGGGGTTGGGGGGGAAGGTCACTCAACAAAGCAGGATAGGCCAGACGTAGTGAAACACAAAATCAGCTTCATCTATTGCTTCAAATGAAGCCCACCCCTCCTCAAATGGCTGTATCACAGACTCGGACTGGGACAAGAAAAACCCAACAGACACCCAGAGGGTACATTCTACAGCGACTCTCACATTTTACAAATAGCAAAAACTAAGGCCCAGAAAAGTGAACTGACTTACCCAAGGTCACACTGTAAATTAAAGTAGCCAACAAGCCTGCCCAGAAGACAAGTCTTAGGAGCCCCTGATTGGTGGTCTTTCTACCAAATCCCAATAGACCCTTAATTATGGAGAGTCTGTCACTTTGCCTCTGACAAACCATTTCAACAGAGAGAAACGCCATCAACACATGTAAACATGCAGAATATGTACTAATAACACATTAAAGTTAAAATGGGTAATCTGGGTTTATCTGCCTTACATTTAAGTTTATTTGTTGGTGGTACGACATTGTTAAAAATAAATGAACACAAAACAATCTTAAAATCTGGATGAAACCTTCTAAAAAACATTCAAATCGTTTTGAAGACAGTGTTCCAATCAAATCTAATTCTAAATAACAAATCAAAGATGTTTTACAAGAGAAGTCTTATTGAATAACAATGAAATCACATGAGAAAACTTTAAAGTTCTATTGCTGGGCAATCAAAGGACTGTACACCATCTCAAAGGGGCTTTCATTGGAAGCGGACATTGAGGTCAAAGATACTGACACAAAAGACAACATATGGAAGGAGCTTATTATCAGACTTGATACATAGTAAGCATTAAATAAATGCTAGTTTCCTTAACCCAGGGTAGGAAAAGAAGTATCGCCCACATAACTTGTAAAACCTTCTTACATTTTCCTAAAAAAGTATGTCCTACATCCCTGGAAAACTTAAGGTGTTATATCACCAGGGCATTATATTTTATTTTAAAAGTGTAACTGAATAAGGCATAGAGAGAACATTTTTCTTAAAAGACAAATTTAGATATTCTGATATCAAGGTAATCAACAGCACTCTTCTAATATTATGGCAAAGTTTTCAGTAGTAATTCCTACTCTAACAGAAAAAAAAAATAATTCAATGTTTATTGTTGTTTCTCTGGTAGCAGGAAAAGAAAACTATCATCAAAAGTTGAAATATGACATAAAAAGAGAAACAGCTTTAAAATATTTTATCTTTGTATATGTTTAATAGTCTTTTCCTAAATAATTTTGTAGTCAGTATTTATATTACTCAAGTTAAGTGTAAAATGTCAGTCTTTCACACTCAAGCTCTTCAAGCTTTTCCACTATCACTTTATAAAAGTTTCAGAAAACAGGATCTTGCTGGCTTCACGGAGGCGAATTATTTAGTTAAAAGTATACTTTGAAAGAGAGAATAATAAACATAATTAACATAATTAAAAGAGAGAAGATGTAAGCACCTTCCTTAGAAAAGGATTTCAACTTTGGAGTCCTTTCTTAAAGGTTCTGAGCAAATATGTAGGGACATTCCAGTTTTTGAAGACCCTGGGTGATTTTTCAGGGTCACACAATAAGCGTATGACAAAAGGACAGCAACAGATATCTTGCATCTGCCCCTCCTGGGCTTCTGACTACCAGCCCATTGTACTCTGCTGCCACCTGTGTTCTCTCAACATTTCCCCCAGGGTGGAGGTTCCTCATCCTCTTGATAAATGTCATCCTTTCGAAACAATGCCATTTCTAGGATTCTGCAAGTTACAACAAACAAGTGTTGAGCAAATGTTGCTGTCAAGCTACAAAATGAAAATACAACAAAGCTGCTACCTACATTCATAAAGAAATGCCCCCTCAAGGATTCTGTCTGTTCCTGAAAGTTCAGAGACAGGAATTCTGATACGCAATTATCACGGCCATTTGAGGACAAGATTTGAAATATAAATCCATAACAAGAAGAGGAGTAGGGGGGAATCAAAGATTTAAGAGACCCAAATCCAGAACAACGGATCAGGATGCCAGTTTGTTTTTTTAGAACAGTGAAATATTAAAACAAATTACAAACAAATGCCAACCTCATGGTTTCCTCATTTCTTGGAATTCAAACACCACGGCTGGCATCGTTTTATAATCCTGTAGGAATTTCGCCCAAGTCATCAGGCACAATGTAAAGCCAGTGACTGAGGGACTTCTTTAAAAAAACAAACAAACAAACAAACAAAAAACTGTGCCCTGGCAGAGCCCTTTCTTGTCAGAGCTTCTGACACTGACCTTATTCTCCTCTTAGCGTTAGCCCTCCCCGACCGCTTAATCCATCCAAAAACGTTTGTGACAGTGTGGCTCTAAACTGCGCAGAACTTGACTACAAAACGGCCACAACTCTAAATCTGTTTTCTCCAATTTATATTTTTTTAATTTAAGTCCCACGCTCCCTTGCCATTCGCCCGTGACTCCTCAGTTCTATCTCTTCACTCGTCGAGACCACCTTTTATTGTTTCAATGGAACTTCGCATTCCTCCTTCCATCGAGCAATGTTTTCATCGCACGAATGTCATCTCTAGCGTTCAACCCTCCATTCCGCCTGGCGGGCAGCAGAGGGGCTTTTTGAACCCAGTGGCCAGCTTTCCTGATTTGAACAGCCATTTTCTAGTTAAAACGCTCTCTACTTCCGAGGGGGGAAATGAACTTTTCCCCCTTTGATTTCGCTGAGGCCGGTCTCTGAATCCCCAAGAAGCCAGCCCCGCCTCCAACTCCCCGGGAGCGCGCTGGCGCCCCGCATGGAAGAGCCCAGCCGCACAGCAGAGGCCGGTGCCAGGGCAAGAGGGTGTGCGCTCTTCCCTGCCGGCGCCCATCCTTACTTTTCTCCTCCGCAGCGCCCCTCGGGCGCACCCCCTCCAACCGGTCTCCCCCGCCCCAGGCCCTGCCAAGCCCGGGCAGCCGAAGGAAAGAGGGCGCCAGGAAGCAGGAGGGATGCAAGTCAAGGAGTGAGCCCGCAGTCGCCGTGCCACCTAGCCTTGCGGCGCGGGCTGAGGGCGCACCGGACTCCGCAGCGGACGCCCGCTGCAGATGCGGCGGCAGCTGCTGCAGCTGTGGCTGCCGCTGGGCGGGCGGCAGTGGCCGCGCAGCCCTCGGGGCCGGGAGGAGAGGAGCAGCCGCCGGGGCTACGCGCAGCCACTGGCCGCACGGCGCTGCCGCTGCCTCCGCCCCGGTCTCTCGCCGCACTCCTGGGCCGTTCCGGGGTCCAGGGCAAAAGCAAGGAAGAAAGCGAGGCTCACCAGCGGTGCGCGCGGCGATCGCCTCCGCTCCAGCGCCCGGCAGCTTTGCTCCAGTCCCGCCCTCCGCCGAGCGCCCGGATCAGCTGCGGGTGCAGCGCACGAGCTTCCTACTTGAGACCAAGACGAGCTCCAGCGACTGAGCATGCCCAGTGCCGCTCCGTGAGTCCCTCACAGGGAGCGGCGCCGGCGAGATTCCACTTCTCCAGGCTTTGGCGGCGGCTGTGCGAGGAGAGGCTGGAGGGGCCTGGTGGGGCGGGGGCCGAGCGGGAGAAAGGCGGGGCCGGGGGCGGAGGCCTGGGAGGAGGGGGAGGGCCGCGCTACTAGTGCGACCCCTGCAGGCAGAGGCTGCAGGGCCTCTGGGAGGCACGGTCCCCTATAACGTCTGGGAAGATATCAAGGAGGCAATGGGGGCCAGGGTGTCGAGACCCAAAGGCCGAGATTTGAGATGCAGCCGGGTTTCCCCTTCATGTAGTCTGGCGCCTGTCTGCACCAAAAGGCAGTTGGGTAAGCTTATACCTGGGTAGTCTTTTCTCCCACATATCTGCATTCTCTTATAATGGGAAAATGTCCTCGTATGGGAGCTGCCCACACCCTCCCAGCTGCAACTTATAGGCAAGACCTTCTCCTTCCTTCTGCCTCCTCATCCAGAATCCCAGGTATACACCACACACACACACACACACACACCCAGATCACCGCAGGGGAGAAACACATAATTCCCTTTGCACTTCCAGGAAGATTACCTATAACTCAATTATAAGCAGACAAGCAAGGTCCTGATAAGACTGGATATTCAGTAAGTGGTAATCGGTGCTCTCTGCCCAGACACTGAGTGACATCCCAAGGCATCCTTAGGGTTGCTCTTTCCCCAGTGCAGCGGTTGTCAAACTTGAGCCTGAGTCAGATGGCCTGGAGGGTTTATGGAAACACATTGCTGGGTTCCACTCTGAGTCCCTGTGGGTAGATCTGTGGTGGGGCCCAAGTATCTGTATATCTAACAAGTTCTCTGGTGATGCTGGTGATTCTATTCTGAGGGCTGCACTTTGAGAACCATTACTCTACACATACAGCCTTAATTATGACCTCCATCAGAAAGATTATGCTAAAAGTAAATTAATAGCAATAACAAAGTGATGAATCCTCACACATCCTTATCCCCAAATCTCCGAATGCACTCCTTCCTCAAATAACAAACTTACACCAGTTGGTCATTCTTCATGTGAGGACTCTATGCTTTGAGCGAAGGCAACTTTATTCTTTCGAACATCATGAATTTATTGAGGACCCACAGGGTCTTATAGTAAGCCTGCAATAGCAGTGGTTAAAAAAGCCCAGACCCCTGCCTTCATGGAGCTTACAGTCCAGCGAGGTGGACAGACATCCATCACATAATTACTCAAAAATGTCACTTCAAACATGGAGAGTGCTAGAGGGAAATCTATTAGGCTTGTATAAAAGAGTGTATACTGTATAATGGGACTCTGATGAAGATCAGAATAGGATTGGAGGGAATGAATGGTGGGGGGAAGCTGCCTCTTGGAAGAGGGATTTCTGGCGTTTGCACAATTTCTCTCAGACTCATCTGGAAGCCAACAATCATGTGGCTCCTTCCTGCAACACAAAACAATATTTGCCACAGAAATCCCCATAAGTCCATGAAAGTGCTCACCCTTGGGGCTGAGTCTCTGCACCCCAAGATCTGCCTGGCGAGCCTGCGGACCCTGGATAGCTGGGGGCCCAATTTGGTAAATGTAACTCACTCTGGGAAAATGCAGACTAAATTCGAAAGCCTTCCAGTTCTAATCTATGTCCTTCAGGCCCAGAGAAGCGAGAAATAAGCCCAAGACCACTCTGCCCGTTTGTAGCAGACATTGGATCGGCCTCCTGCCTTCCAAGCAGGTCTTCTTTCCGCGCTCCATTCCCTTGGACCCCAGAACTCCCCGTTGTTCCCTAGGAATCCTGCCCTGCCACCTCTTCTCTGAAGAGTCCAGGGGTGGTAAAAGGGACCTGCCCCGCCCGACTGGGTCTTCTCTGGACGGGGAGGAAAACCCGCGGTGGAGTCCTTGTTAGCGGGGCGGGGCGAAGCGCGCAGGCGCAGTGGCCGCTAGGTAGGGCCGAGGAGGCGCCCAGCTCCACACCTGATGCAATCAGCCTTCCGGAAACGGGTCCTGCCGTCGCGCTCTCCCAGGAAGCGCTTTTGCGTCCTCCACCGGCCGCTGTGTCCCCCGCCCCAGTTGCGAGTCTCCTTGTCGCCCGACTTAGCCTCGGGCGGAGGGCGACGTTCGGCGTCCCACTGGAGACCCGCAGGAGGAGTTGGGAAGGCACCGCCTAAGAAAGCAAAATCCCTGGCTTTCCTAATAGTGACGTGGAAACGGCACCGAGCTTTCCTTGGCTGCAGGAGGAAATTCCCTTAATTCTGTTATTTCTAGAGAAGACAGGCGGGGGTTGGCGGTGGAGGGGAGATTTTTAACCTTTCTTTGCTGCCTTCCTTCGTTGCTTCGTCCGCCTTCCGACACACGTTTTCTTTCTCCCTCCCTAAAAGGAACGTTTATAGTAACAGCCGTTTTAAGGCAGTATAGAGAGAACTTCTTGATCTCTCTCTTCGTCTAGCTAAATATGTAACAGCACGTTAGCTCTACTACATAAAGCCTTCCACTATACACATTTTATAAATAAGTAATTGGTTTCTCTATATCTCGTCATTTCAGTTTACAAAGAAAATCATTTCTCGTTTCTCCACCTCATGCAATTTGATATCTATTGTGAATGGATTTTTTTCCTTCATGCTGGCTCATTGATTGTTTTCCAAGGAAATGATATATTCCAAGAATATTCCAAGAGCATGTTTTTAAAAGCATGAAAATAAAAATTACCTCTGTAAGTTCTTTAAGACCAAAGAGAAAAGGAAAAGGCAGATTCAAAGAATTTTAGTTGGAAAGATATTTAGGAGATCATAATAGAATTCCTTCCGGATCAACATAGATTTGACAGAGGACATTTACCTCTCTGTGGCCCAAAGAGGTAAATGACTTTTCCCAACTTAACAGTCAAATCAATGACAGACCTGGCACTTGTATACAGATTTCATGAAAAAATCTGTATTCGGCCTAATGAAAAACTATTTGTTTTTTACACAAACACTACACAGAATACAAGACTACATTAAAGTGCTGTTTATTCAATCCAGAAGTTACAAAGTACAAAATCGATGAGAACAAAGAGAATCCTATTTCTTGTTTCTACCTCTGAAGTCATTAGTCTTTAAACAGTTCTTGATCTATCCAACCACTATACAAACCTATCCAACCAACCGCTTCTAAGATTACCAGAGACCACTCGTTAAACATTTCAATTAAAGTATGAAATTCTTCAGAACCTCAAGACATCAGGACTCTTTTGAGTCAATATTTAGAGCCTCTAATATTTTTGCTTGATCATATAGTCCACAAACTGTTTGAAGTTAAGCCAAGGGAATTATAATGATCACAACAAAATATCAAGGTTATTATTTGCCACTGTACTGATTTAAAATAACAAAATGGAAATCAAAGTGAAAGACAAAAATAACTGCAAAACTCAAGACTTATCAGAACCTTACCTACCTTTTTATCTTGATGAACATGTGTTTCTTTCTGGAATAATCTGACATTTGGAGATGTGGAAAAATACCTTTACTTATGCAAAAATAGAGTTGAGTAAATGTCAAAACACAGAAGTGCAAAGTACAAACTCATCACAAGATACTAGTTACAGAATACCAAACTTTTACTGAGTGCTTAGCATGTGCCAAGTACCAACTCAGCATTTTACATGTTATTTAACTTAATCTTTGAGGAGGGTGCCATTATTATTTTTACTTTACAGGTAGTGAATATGATGGTTGAGAATGTAGAGTAACTAACTCAAGGCACAACATATTCAGTGCAGACCTGAGATTTGAACCCTGGCATTTGCTTGGAGGTTGGGCTTTTAAATAACACACTATACAGAAAAAATCTAAATACAGAAAAAATTATTGATTTTATCTCATATAAGAAATGAAATGGAGCACTGTACTTACTCTCCTTCCAAAGATAAGATGATAAAATTACTTTTTTGTCCACATTAGAGAAAGAAACCTTTCTAATAGTGGTCCCTAAACTTGAGACCAATCTTACAGATATGAAGGAAGATGATCAAATACCTAGTGATTTTTCAGAGTTATTAGCAAGGCCTCCCCTCTGATGGACCTTCTCCATATTTGACTGGTTCCTCTAGTCCTAAACAATACAATATAGTAGTCACTAGCCACTTACGTTTAATTTTAAATTAAAATTAGAATTAAAATTTCAGTTCCTCAGTCATATTAGCCACATTTCAAATGCTTAAAAGTCACATGGGATAATGACTACTGTATTTATGTAAGTATAAAGCATTTCTATCACTGCAGAAAATTTCATTGGACAGTGCTGCTCTAATATTTTACCTCAGTAGTGTAAGGCTTAATCTCTCTTCACTCTGCAGCATTCCTCCTCTGAGAGGACCATGTTTTTAGCTCTGCCTTTCTCTTGAGTTTCAGCCTATTTTTCCAAACTAAAATGATTTTCAGAGTGTAGAATATTAGCATGGAAAGACTGAGCTTTGGAGAAAGAACTTATTTCACATCTCAACTCTTTTATTTACCATCTGTGTGACCTTGGGCAAGTTACATAACTACACTAAACCTCAATTTGCCTATCTTTAAAATGGGCATCTTAATCATGGGTTTGTTTAAGATTAAATAAAATAACACATGTAAAGCTTTTAGTAGGCCTCACATAAATTTCCTTCCTTCCATTTCTATTTCAGTTAATGACATCAACAGTTACTCAGCTTTCCAAACTAGAAAACTCAGTCATCTTCAATTCCTCCTTCCTCCTCAACCAACCGCTTCAAATTAGTCATCAAGCCTTGTTGCCCCCACTTCAGGGATGTCTCTCAAATCCAGGCCCTCCTTTCTGTCACACTCCCACCATCCTCACTGGCTTTTCATGCACTATTTCAGTATCCTGCTAACTGACCTCAGTGACACCCATCACTTCTAATCCAAGCCCTTCCTCCATGCCACTGCCAGAGTGATTCTTCTAAAAAAAGATGCTGATGATGTCACTCCCCTCCTTTGAAATCGTTGCTGACTTCCAATTGCTTAAGAATAAAAACTGCTAAAGCTAAAGACTCACTTGACCAACCCCCCATTCCATTTCA